CTTATTTGCAGCATGAATTCAAAAATAAGTTTATTTTGAATTTTAATAAACTAAACGTTCACCAAAAACTTTAGTGAGAAAAATCGAAAAAACGAACTACAAACATATTAACGCCAAACATTCGGTAGAATTTATAGAATATTGTAAATATATATATATATATATATATATATATATATATATATATATATATATATATATATTGAAGTTACAAATATCAGGTTATTCCCTAGTGGAGTTTACTCAGATCATAGCTTGATACATGTTGACATACCAATAACTCGAGCATGTAATAACAAAACTTCATGATTGGCTAGGTCATGGAAACTTATTGATGAAAATATACTGACCGACCATGCATGTTATGAATTCACCACTGCATGAGCCTTGTCAAAGTCGAGATGTGAATCGTAAATTTGGTGTTTTAAATAATGAAATGAGGAAGATTGCTGACCAAATTGCGCCTCTCCGTCTATCGAGCATAAAAGTGATCTTATGGCTCCATGGTTTGATGATGAGTGTAGAGCAGCTAAAAGATACTGTCGAAGTAAAAAAAGGAAATACAGATGTTGTTTGTCATCAGTGAGTCGAAATGAATGGATTGCTTTTTTGAAAAATAAAACCAAACTATTTTCAATAAAAAGAAATGATTACTGGAAAACGTTGATTGCTGAAAGTAATGGTGGTTCAAAGGGTCTATGGAACGTAGTAAACAAAATTCTTTGTAAAGATAATAACCATAGCTTACTTTATAATAATGTCGACATCACCGCTTCTCAATTTATGGGGTTTTTTTCAAGAAAAGACCGATCGGATCAAGCATGCTATTAGTATTAACGAAAACCTACTTTTGACAGATGTAGGCTTACCGAAAATTGTCTGCTCACAAACTTTGCTGTCGTTGAGGAACTAGACATAAAAAAAATTGTGCTTGGTCTACCGGCCAAAATCTGTATGTTAGATGCTTTTCCGACTCATGTGCTTAAAAAACATATAGATATTTTTATTGTTTTTCTCGCAAGCCTTGTTAACTTATGTTTGCCAGAGGGAGTATTTTCGAATAAATGTAAGCACGCAGTTATTACACCTGTCTTGAAGAAAACGAAAGATGATAGGAATGAAATGAAAAGTTACAGACCCATATCAAACATTTGCTTCATTTCCAAAGCTATTGAACGAGTTGTTGCCAGTCAGCTACTCAGTCATCTACACAAAAATAGCCTAATACCAGTATTTCAATCTGGATATAAACGTTATCACTCAACTGATACAGCACTGATGTATGTTATGTCTGAGTTGTTTAATGCAATTGATAAACAATATGTTTCGTTGCTTACATTCTTGGACATGAGTGCTGCCTTCGATTGCGTAGACTATCAAATCCTGATGAATCGCCTACAATATGATTACGGAGTTACTGGAGTTGTAGCTAACTGGTTCAATTCGTACTTGTTTGATAAAACTCAGCAGGTCTTTTTCGGAAACAATTATCTGGCATTGAAGCAATGTCACCTGGTGTAGCACAAGGCTCAGTCCTGGGACCTATTCTGTTTGTACTGTACACTGCTGAAGTATATGAAGTAATAGAATCCTTTGGATTTTCATATCATGCGTACGCTGATGACATCCAAATAATAGTTAGCAGTGAACCTAAACTGTTTAAAAGTAAAGTTGAAAATCTCATTGAATGCTTGACTA